CGTTACGTTACGTTACGTTACGTTACGTTACCGTTACGTTACCGTTACGTTACGTTACGTTACGTTACGTTACGTACGTTACGTAGTACGTAGTACGTAGTAGTAGTAGTAGAGAGAGAGAGAGAGAGAGAGAGAGAGAGAGAGAGAGAGAGAGGAGAGAGAGAGAGGGTATGAGTTGAATCATAGAAAGCGGATGTTGGATGGAGAGGGAGAGAGAAAGATGATGGTATGAGTGGGTGAGAGAGGGAGAGAGATGCAAAAGATTTTGAGGCTCAAAGTGAATCCCGTAAAATTCAAGTAAAACTTGAATTTTCGGGATTCAAATATTTGGAGGTTATCGGAATATAAGAAGATCTAATTTGGTCCTATCAAACATGGAATATTTGCTTGTAAAATTCAAATTACAATAGATTCTATATTATCCTAAAATATTAGGATATTAAGGTGCTGTCAAACAGACCCTTAGTTTTTATTATTAATTTTTTAATTTATTTTAGGTTTCCTTCTTCCTCCTATATGACTTCTTGTGGTGTGGGTCATCAAACAAATGCTAGATACACTTGGTTAAATGGGGAAGAGTGTGCTTATCCTAAGAAAAAGGGGATTTGGGGATTAGAAGAATTAGGGAAGCAAATGTGGTACCACTGGCCAAGTGGTGGTGGAGAATTATCTATGATAAGAGGTAGTGTTAAAAAAAGTATTGGGAGGGTGAAGCAGGATGGCTAGTTAAGTAACTGGAAAATGGAAGCAAGCATTCAGAGGTGTAGAATGGAATAAATAGGTGCTCGATGGACTTTATTCAGGACATGTAGGAAAGGGGAGGCGAACAAGGTTTTGGATGGACCCATGACTTGGGCATGAACCAAAGGACAAGTACTTGAGCCTATTTGCAGTCACCTCATTCCCAAACATCAAAATTGACAAAGTTGTAGAAGAGAGGGGCTTCAACCCACCTGAACCCCTTCCCTTAGATGAGCATTGAAAGGGGATGGCGTCGAATGCTTTGCTAGTCTTTTAGCAGAAGTACAACAATACTTTTATGCAATAAGGGAGACAAGATGATATAAAGACCTGAGTACCAATGCAAATTTTTAGTTGAGTTCATGTACTAGATATTGGCTCAGTGTTAAAAATCCGTTTCATCTGCTTGTTCAGTATGGCTCACACCTGCCCCCCCTAAGGCTCAATATTTTGCAAGGTTCGCCATAGTGGATAAAGTTCTAATAGTTTGTCTTAGAGCAAGGTGTGGTATGATCATCTCAAACATGTGTTTGACGTGCAAACAAGAGACAAAACTTCCCCTTCAGCTTCATTAGTATGCGGTGATCACATAAAACTTTGGTTACGCATCTCCACCTTGCCAACCCAGTTCTAATTCTATGCGCGACATTTTCCTCAATCTCGCCATTTTCCTGGATTATCGTCCCAAGATATTGAAATTACGCTCGTTTTAGTATTTCTTGGTCGTCAATCTTGACTACTTCCTCGTCTCTACTCTTATTATTACTAATCTTGCATTCTATATATTATGTCTTAGTCCGGCTAATTTAAAAACTTCAGATTTTAAAGCATCCCTCCAAAGTTCTAACTTTGTCTTGACGCCACTTCAGGTCTCATCAATTTAAACTATGTTGTGTGCGAACAAAATACACCACGGGATGTAGACCTATTGTTACTGAAAACTCACTTGTCCCTCCACTAGTTGTTCGCACGCTAGTTAGCACTCCCTCTTACATATATGGTTGTTCCCTGAACTTTTTTGGGTTTTGCTGAGTCATGCCATGCTCAATCATTGCATTTTGTGGAGATTGGAGATTGATCATGCTGGCAGTCTTGGCTAACATAGCTTGAGTTCACAAACTAGGTGATGAGAGAAAGAAGGGGCAAATAGAGGTCCTTGTGGCAAACTTATGGCTAACAAGGGGCTGGCGTCCACAAACAAGGTGATAAGAGAAGGAAACAACAAATAAAGGAAGGAATTCTGGGGGTATTCCATGGTTGATTTTGAAATTCATGGGGATATTCCATGGGGGTAAGGACGTTATTGCTCTCCACAATCAGCGAAACTAGTATGATGGAGACCCCAAACAATGGTGTGCAGTGGAGCTCAGATATGGTAGTTGAGGCTGCCAAATCTTCCACAAGAGTGCTAGTTTTCCTTTAGATGGCATGCAACATATTTAGATGTTGCGTTCTTTGTTTATCCATGTTTTCTATAGGCAACTTTGATGTGTGGCATTCATAATTGACCTCATGAAATAAAGGAGTACACTTATGGGAGAACTAGCATATGTATCGTTCCAAAGCCAAAAATGAATAGTAGCATATATTATATGCCCTTGTAAAGGAATGATAATGTATTGTTATGTGAACTACACATAGTATGTATGATCATTTTATGAGTTGTGAAGTGGCATTTATGGATGTAGTCCTTTAGTTGCTAGGCATATTGGGAGCATATTACAGCATTCTTCATGATATTGCCTGTGGTTGTGCTCAGTATGGTTAATAGAGATTCTATCCTTTCTTGCGTTCCAAGGTTCATGGCACTTTAACCTGTATTTGTCTTAAAGATGTGGTGCTTCTCTCATGTTCAATTTTTCTGATAAACTAGTCACATATATGTGACAATTTGCCAGACATTGGTCTTTACATCCCTTTTTTTGGTTTGTTTGGCTTTCTTTATTTTTTTATCTTCCTTTTTTTGCAGATTCTGCTGGAAGATGTGAAGATCACTGAGCAAATACTCGATTTGGTGTTCTTTATGCATGTTGTTCTTGCGCGATATGAACAGGTGTGTATATCACTGAATATACTGTATTTGGTGTTCTTTATGCATGTTGTTCTTGCACGATATAAGCAGTCTATGTCCTGAATAGTTTATTAGTTTATTTTCTTTTTTTGTGTTTAGTTGTGAATGAAGTTGGCTTTATTGTTCAGGATGGCTATTCTGGAAGCTATTTACCTCTTTTGCATTCAGCATTGGTGGCTTGCAGTCTTTATCTATTGAGAGACTATATTTCTCTGAAGTGGCAAGATCTCGTCAATGTTTTGGTTGCACATCCAAAGGTGCTTTCTAACACGGCCTATAATCCACCATCATGAATGGCAATTTTTTTTTTTTTGTGAGGTGACTGAAGTTTAGTTTTCTAGATTTTAAAAGGTAGCTTTCCATTTTTCATGGTTACTCACAACTTGTGCATTTTACATTGTACTTGAGATCATGGAAGGGGTGAGATGGTTTTCATATTTGGTAGATGTCAACCTCTGAAGACCCTCCTAGCTAGGCCTTATCCAATGACTCGCCATGACCAATAGAAAATTAGGAAATCTGTGAGGTGAGGAGAATAAATCAGAGCCATCCATCCTACAAATTAGCCATCATGATTTTGGGAGGCATATTTAGAATTTTATCCCTTTTAAATTTAACCCATTTCCACTTCTAGTTTAGTTGGGATTAAACCAATTTAAAACTTTCTAGAACTTCCTAATTTATCTCTAATTGTAGGAAGTCTTTTTTTGAGAAATGTTAACTTCTAGGAAGTCAAAATAATATTTCTAGGTCAAAACTAACTCTCACAAAAATAGGAACATAATCTTTTCTTTTCTTTTTAAAACAGATTTTCTAACTAACCATACTTAAAAAACATTTAATAGAAACAAGAACTAAAAGATTAAAGAAGGGGGGACTTGTCACCCCTATGGGCCCCACGCTCCACCCATGGGTGTGGCACATGTGGGGCTGGATCCAAGTGCCGCACATGTGCCCTTTGCTACTCATATAATTTTGAAAATACTCTTTTTACAGGAAATTACAGCAGAAATAATTTAAAAAATTCTAAAAAAAATTCCTAAAATCCACATAAACATTCCTAGTATTGAAAATAAAATATCCAGAAGCGGATTGGTACTGTTGGGTCAAAACCAATTGACTATAAGGGCATTCCATCGGACACAGTGACCATGATCCACAACTGTCTTCTTATACCAACCCACCGAAACCCACTATCTCATGCATAGTCACGATTGTCTCGTAAAAGCTGGCCAATAAATAGTAGAACCACATTTTCAGAATGTAGATTACAGTTCCTCCCTTAAGAGCAAGTCAAACAATGTTACTGTAGTACAATTGGGACTCTCTCTATGCACATGTACACGTATTCCTCTGTAGGGTTGCTTCTCGATAAGGTTGTCATATGTACATATTGTGTGGAACTTTGTTGAAGATTTTGTAGGGGTTTGTGGAGAGAGCGCCCTCTTGTACTATAAAGATGCATGCATTTAAGTTGCTCTTAGGGGGGACCTGTAATCCACATATTGGGACTATGGTTCCACTTCTTATTGGCAAACTTAGACGGGTCAATCACGAGTCCCTGCACTTGATTGTGGGTCATGAGTCCAGTTAGGTTGGAGAAGACAATAGTGGATCGTGGATCTTGGCTCGAGTGGAGTGCCCTGACATTCACTTGTTTTTTGACCTATTAGGTACCTATCCACCTCTAAGTTATATATCTATTTCTTTTAGATTTTTGTGGATCTTCAGAAATATTGTTTTAAACTAAATCGTTACTGTGGGTTTTTGATTTTTAGAATTGTAAAATATTTTTATTTGCTTAAAATCCCTAGAAGGGTATTTATGAAAATTTAAAATTATCAAAGCGCTTTTCTGAAAATTTTTTAAATTGGTGGGAACCATGTTTGTGTGTTTTTTTTGGGGGGGGCCCACATGGGCTACACGCCCCACATATTGGGGTGCCCAAGGTTTCCCAAATTTTATGGGAGACCTTATGATGCATAATTTTTAGGAGGATCCTTTTTGAAATATTTTGTGAGAGATTTAAGGGGATCTAGATTTTGATCATTATTTTATTTTCTGATTATCCTTATGTGAGAATAAGAAATCTGGAATATTTTGGATTACTCTGGAATATTCTAGAAGATAAGATTATGATGAGAAAAATCTAGATTATTTAAAAGTGGATATATGTTACTCAGGGGATAAGGTTCTTAAATATTCACTCTAAATCATGATGGCTGATCTTGGAGATGAATGACTCAGATTTATTCTTTCGCATCCACAAATTACCTAAATATTTTCTAAATCTTGCCGAATCCTATTTAGATTGGGTGGCACTATCAACTAGCAAGAGTGGGGGTGGTTTTAGTGCCCAATATGCCAAAAAATCTGGGGCAAATAACTCTGGCAGTTATCATAATGTCAAAGGAGAAGAAAGCTACAAAATTAAAAATGGTTCATGAGTTGGGTAGCCAATATTATGCCCCAACTCAAGAGCGGGGAAGGGATGATGAGCGAGTTTGAGGTGCATCTTGAACTTGCAAGGAGGACAGTTTAGAGGAGATGTACTGCCAGCAGAGCAATAGGCGAGGTATAGAGGCATAGTTCTCTGGGGGCTTCCTTAAGTCACATTGATGATTGACAATTTTTTTTTTTTTGTGGGGGGTGGAAGGGGTGTGTGTGGCTTACCTGGTTTGATCAGGCCTATGAGATTCATGGAGAGGGAGGGCTGGTGAGCAGTACACACTGACAATCACTTTGGGACCACGCAACCTAGGGCATTGAGTGTTCAGGCCACTCCATGCCCTAGGCCAGAGTACACACCTGCCTAGGGCATGTGTTGAAGGCAATCAGAATGTTATTTTATGATGCTATCATCCATTTCATTCTGATTGTCTTTCTATGCTTTCACCTGAGTAGATGATCATCAACTCCAACTTTACAAATCTCAAATACTTTGGACCTTAATAAGCATTTTTTTAATTGTGCATGGAGTGTGGACTAATGTTATATGGAGTGTATGGACTGTGTTATGCATTCTTAATGTATCATGCCTCAATATGCATTTTTTACACAGAATTTGGACTTAAAACAGTTGGACTAGACACCTCCTACCCTTGTTCATCCACCAAGGCTGCCCAAAAATCTGGATGGCCGCCTAGGTGTTGGGCGGCCAGGACCACCCCAGCCGCCTCGGCGCTGCCCGGCATTTTTGGGAACAATGCTTGCTCTTGGGGGGAACATGTAATCCACATACTAAGATCGTGGTGCCACTCTTTATTGGCCAGCTTTGACAGGCCCACCATGAGCCCCATGCATCACTGTGTGTCATGGGTCCATTGGGTTGGTTTGAGAAGATAGGTGTGGATCACGATTTCTAGAAAGGGTGGAGTAACTTGACAGTCACTTTTCTTGACCCAATGGTACCGATCTACTTCTAAAGGTATTTCAGAGTGTTCTAGAAGTTTTAAGAACTCCAAAAATATTGCTTTCAACTTTATTTATGCTCATAAAATTTTTAAATGTGAAGCTTAAAACCCTAAAAAGTGCAATGTTGATATTTTCGCAACTTGTAGGGGCATTATTTTTTTATTGGGACCCATTGGGGGGGGGAGGGGGGGCAAGGGCCCAACCTCCACACATGTGGGTACCATATCAGTGTGGGATGTAAGACCGATTTCAGCCACATGTCACACATAGGTTGGATGTCCCGCTTGTTGAGGAAGTATTCCCACTAGCTTAAGAAACCTTCATAAAATCTTTGAGAATAATTTGAGGGAGAAAAATTAGATATCATCTTTTATTTTGTGGTGTAAGAAATATTTATAGAATATTTGATATTTGACTTTGAAGTGGATCTTCAAGTTGACTTTGATTTCCATACGAGTAAGAATCTAGATTTTACGAAACTACGGAAGATCTCGTTCTAGTCTAACTAGGAGTGGATAATTCAAAGCATAAGGTTCCCAGGTTCCTTCCTAATCATGATGGCTGATTTCAGGAAGGGATGGCTCTAATTTGTTTTCTCTCTCATATTACATATTACTTGAGAATCCTATGGTCAACTGAATCCCAATTGCGATGGTAATACCCTAGGGCCTTCAGGCATATTTAAGGGGGATCCTCCCCCTCTTTCAACCCATCCTGAGCTTAGCCCTATCTCTCTCTCCTCTCTTGCTCTCCCTCTCTCTCTCTCTCTCTCTCTCTCTCTCTCTACTCTCTACTCT